TTTCCCTCTTTCTCCCTCCCTCTCTCTCTCTGTCTATCTCTATCTCTATCTCTATCTCTGTTCCGCCTCTGATATTTCGCTCTTTCTCTCTCTTTCTTTCTCTGCCTGGTCCTAGGTAAACGCGGAGAGTGGTAGACTGGGCAGTCGACGAGAGACCACGGTGGTGGTGGTGGCGGTGGTGGTGGCGGTGGAGGTGGTGGTGGTGGTGGTGGCGGTGACGATGGTGGTGGTTGATGCGATTCGTTGGTGTGGTAGTGGTATACACGAATACCGCTTGAAACGCGTATATACCGATCCACCGATCGGAACGTGGCAGGACGGTGACAGTGACGATAATGGTAACGGTGGTAGTAGTGACTCTGCGGTGGTGGTGGTGGTGGTGGTGGTAGTAGAGAAGAGGCCAGGTGGGCCCCGTGGCTTACAGGCGAGCCCAGAAAGGGTTGAGGGTCCGAAAAGCACGGTTCTCTCTCTCTCGAGAACTCCCGGCGGAATACTCACGCTAGAGAGGAGGCCTCGCGAGCCTCGTGAGTTGGTTTGTAAAGGGACCGTAGTATTGGTTCCTCGTCGAGTGGCACCTCTTCTCTTCTCTCTTCCTCGCTTACTCGCTCGCCCTCTACCTATCTTTTTCCTACGCTTACTCTTTCCTCCCACCATCGCCCCTCCTCCTACCACCACCTTCCTCCACTCTCCCTTTCCCCACTGGTGCTCTCACTATTACATTACAAATAGCTCTCTTGCCTAGGCCTCTCGTTTGTGAGGTGTTGCTCCTTCCGTGTACGTTTATATTTCGCGGCGTAGTGTGTCGCGCGCCTCGATTCACGTGTGGAACCTGCATTTGTATTCTCCGATGCACATGCACGAACTGTCGAACGATAAGAGTATAGACTTTGTCTGTCTTTCTTTCCTCCGTCTTTCTCCCTCGTGCTCCTTCTCCCTCGCTCTCTCCCGTTCCTGCTCTCCTTTTCTCTTTCTCTGTTTTTCATCTTTTCTTTCTCGTTTCTGCGTCTAGCCGTGCTCGTACGTCTATCTGGTCTCGTGGTGTGCACACGTACGAACGTACACGTGAAAATCGCAACCGCTCTACACTCTTTATTCTCATCTCCGTCGCTCGGATGCCGCTGAATAGCGGGCTTCTTTGTCACGGTAATGGTGTAATACAAGGCTCCGCTCGTGCTCGTGCACGTAATACGTAAGAATGGAGCGAGAGCTCTGCAGCCCCTGCACGACGCTTCTCCTTTTCTTTCTTTCCCTCTTTCTTCCCGTCTTTCTTTCTTTCTTTCGTCCCTTCTTTCTCTCTTTCCTTTCCTTCCACCATCTATTCCCCCACCCCGCGTCCTCACCAGCCCATACGTTTCCGTTCTTTCTGCGTCGTCCTCCCGTGAGTCTTTTCCTCCCGTGTCCACCGTGTCTCTCTCCCACCGTGTAATTTCCATCCCGTTCCCTCGATTCTTCTGTCCTTCTTTATCACCGGCTGAAACTTTATCTTTTGCTTTTCACTGCCCTCCCTCGATCCGTCCCTCTCCCACTCTTTGTCTTTCCCGCTTCTTTTCTCACTCCGCCTTGGTCCTCTTTGCACGAGCGAACGCGCTTGCGCGCCTCTTCAGTCTCTCGCGAACCGAGGAGATAGAACGTTACGTTTTCACCGCCTCCCTCTTCCTACCCTTTCCTTCCCTTTCCTCCTTCCTCTACCTCTCTCTCTAGACACTAGATCGCTCTCGCTTCTTTCACCGACCTTCCAACCCGTCTATTCTCCACGCCACCTATCACTCCCACGTGCTTTCTTCCCTTTTAAAAACGTTGGCCCGCGACCGGCCGGTTCATCCAATCGGTTCGCGCGCGCGGCCGTCGCGCGTACCTCTTTTTCATCCGGAGAATTATGTCGTTGCTCTAGTTATGCATCGGAAACGCTTTCAGCCGTGATCGATAGTGAAATGCTTGAATGACTCGCTGGTAAACACCTACTGCTTCGAGCTTCCTCCGCGTTTACTTTGATTACGAGTTTAGCTCGTGACACGAGCATCTTTAACCGCTC